TTAGGGTGTTTCTCCTCCTGGGCTGATCCTGGAGCCATTGTGGGTCCCCGGGAACTCCCACATCCCTTCCTTGGAGGCCTGCGACCTCCCCAGTCTGGGAGCATCACAGAATGTGAGGCATTGCTCTCCTAATATATATTTTTATTGATTTCAGAGAGAAAGGGAGAGGAAGAGAGAGAGAAACCTCTGTGATGAGAGAGAATCATGGATTGGCTGCCTCCTGCACATCCCCCACTGGGGATGGAGTCCACAACCCGGGCCTGTGCCCTGACCGGGAATCGAACTGTGACCTCCTGGCTCGTAGGTCGATGCTCACCCACTGAGCCACACCAGCTGGGCAAGGACACCTTGATCTTGAGCCCTTGTTTTCCCATCATCTGTCTCCATGCCAGTTGTCTCGGCCAGATTCACACACAAAGCAAATCCAATTAAAGGGAAAGACTGCCCCTGGCAGCGCAGCATTTTTAATAAAGGCGGCCGCCCTCTGGAAGCCACAACTGATGGACAGGTGCTTCAACAACAGTCTCAGGTTGGCCAGCAAATGGGTCGCGTGAGCCTGAGACCGGCCCTGGCGCTTCAGGATTCATAGTTCATGGGTGACAAGCGTTCGTTTACCAGAGGTATCGTTTCCTTAGGAATTCCGGGGTAATTGGAAACACTCAGTCTCCATACCCAGAGTACCAGTGAGAGCAGGGTTGATGAACGGTTTTCAGAAGAGCATTCTTTTCCTCAGAAGGTTAAGAGGAGTTTGATTATAGGCTGAAAATGTTAAGATAGGTAACTTGTGATTTGCCACACACAGAGGAATCCTTGTCTTGCCTCTGTTGCCTTCGTCCAACACAATTCCCAAAACTGAAAATGTGCCAATGATGTCTAAGTAAAAAGAAAGAGCTTTGTAGAGAAATCAAACCCTCGCCCTAACCAGTCTGGCTCAGTAGATAGAGCGGCAGCCTGTGGACTGCAGGGTCCCGGGTTCGATTCTGGTCAGGGGCACGTACCTGGGTTGCAGGCTCGATCCCCAGCCTTGGTTGGGGCACATGCAAGAGGCAGCCAATCAGTATTGCCTCTCTCATCAATGTTTCTCTCTCTCTCTTGCCCTCCCTACCTTCTACTCGCTCTAAAAACCAATGGAAAAATATCCTTGGGTGAGGATTAACAACACCACCACCAACATAAAAATAAAAATCAATGGAAAGATATCTTTGGGTGAGGATTAACAAAAAACAAAACAAACAAACCCTCCAGAAGCCCAGCTGTGACAATGGCTTGGGGGGCTGGGGTGGATTTGGGCAGGAATGGGCAGCCACCATTCCTTCCCAGGTGGCCTTTTGGGTTCAGAGTCTCCAACTGGTGGCTCTCAGGGTGCCTCGTGGTTTTCTGAGGGGCCCAAAGCTCTCTGGTCTGCGGGTGGGGGTGGGCACTGCAGATGGACTGCCTCAGCTTTTTGAGGCCCTGTCCTTTCTGGGACCCCCAGCTCCTCCTTCCTGGCTATGAAACTGCACCCCGGCAGAGGCCACCTGGGCCCACTGGCTTCCTCCCTGATGGGCTGAAGGTCAAGGGCTGGGCCTCAGCCACAGGTGGGCGCTTCCATGCCTGCCATTCAGGAGCTGTTTGTAGCGAATGGCAGGACGGAGTGGAAACGCCTCTCTGTCCCCTGCCGGTTCTGAACAGGCAGAGCTGGGAGTTAGCTTCCTTCTGGAGTTACAGGCACCACTGTTGGCTGCTCTGTCTTCTCCACCGGGAACCGGTTATGACCAGAATCAGGGCCAGGCTAAAGGCAGCGGCACATGGAAAAGCAGACAAACAGGCTTACCGGTCACCACCACGCAGCCGGGCTGGGGCTCCATGAAACCGGAGTGGGGCGCCTGCCTCTGTGCCTCCCGGGTCAGATGGCCGTGGCGCAGCCCGGACACGGGGTGCCCCTCTCACAGGGCCACCGGCCTCCTATGATGGGGGTGCCCACCTCCTGCTCCTATAGGGGGATCTAGCCACAGGGTCCCTCAGCATTCCGGGGGCCCCTACAGCCTGAAGACTCAGGGGTGGGGGAGGGTGGTAAGACGATGCCCTGGAAAGCAGAAAGCCAGCTCCGGGCGCAGAGGCGGAGCCATCTGGGACTTGCTGGCCACTGGGTCTGGGCCAGTTTGCTGCTTGGTATGATTGGAAGGAGAGGTTGGCAACTGTCTGTCCTGCTTTGCCTGGGTCTGAGGGGTTTCTGGGATTATGGGGGGGGGGGCGCTAAAATGGGCTGAAATTGGTACAGTCCTGGGCAGACCAGGAAGGTGGGTGACCCTGCAAGTTGCTCAGTTAGGTTTTCTCCGCTTCAGGCATCCCCCCATCTGCCCCCGAGTTCTCGTGTTTGGCCGTTATGACTTGATGAGGTTGCTCTTGAAACTGATTCTGCAAAATATGTTAAAGAAAAGAAAAGAAAAGAAAGAAAACAATGATGAAAGAAAAAGGAAACCAAACCCCAAATGATGGTTACGATTAATAGTGTTGGTTGAAGCCCCATTGCCTATAAGCTGTGGGTCCTAAGGCACGTTAACAAACCATTAGGTTTAACAAAAAATGAGCACAAAAGCACCTTGCATAAAACTAAAAATACTTTTTTTTAAAAAGCTGATTGATATGAGCTACAAAAAACAATTCTTTTTCCCCGTCTGGGTGTAGCCCCATGGCTCCCCCAGGACCAGGGAGCTTCCCCATGTTCAGAGGGCCCTGTATTAGAGGGCGTGACCACGTGGTCCCATCTTAATTGTCCCCCTTGGTAAAAACAGCCCCCCACCCTGAATTGGGGTCTTTGCCAAGGGCTAGGCTCCACCTGGTGCCTTCCTGGGACGCGGAACCCACAGCCATCCCCTTTCATTGGCTCCTGGTGTGGGTTGCAGGCTATTTGCAGAGAAGGGATGGGAAGTGGCGTTTGACCTCTGTGGCCTCCCCAGCCTGCTCAGAGAGACTGGGCCACCTCGTCCTGCGGGGGGTGCAGAGGCCTGTGCCCGGCACCTCAGCTGAAGAGGAAAGTATACAGGACCCACGTTCAAGTTGGAAAGCAGTTACCCGGTTGCTCATACTCCCTCTGGCATTCTTGATGGTATCTGAACCCCCTTCTAATGAACGATGGCTCCCCAAGTTCACGACTCGTACCTGGTTCTGTCAGCGTTCTTGACCTGCCTGTCACAGTTATAAACAAGATTAGGCCACTAGCAATGCCCACATTTGTGAAGTTGGCTGCCTTGAGGGTCAGATTCTGATAGCAGCACCAGCTAATGAGGTCTGCTGTGGTAACTGGTATTTCCCAGCGTTAACTTACCACACCGCAAGAAGCCCCACCGGCGTGGCTCAGTGGTTGAGTGTTGACCTAGGAACCAGGAGGTCACGGTTCCATTCCCGGTTGGGGTGCATGCCCGGGTTGCGGGCTCGATCCCCAGTGTGGGGTGTCCAAGAGGCCTCTCTCCCTCTTCCTTCCTTTCTAAAAATCAATAAAAGCATATTTTTTAAAGTAAATAAATAAAACAATAGCAATAGCTCTTCCCTGTGTCCAACATCACTGCTTCCAGATCAGTTACTTATAACACGGAACTCAAGCCAACCTGCCTCTTGTCAAAGCACTAACAGGTTTTCAAAAAATGCCCCCTCCATCCCCAAGGTAGCCTTTTGGACGCACCCTCCCTTATTCCTTTGCCTTTTCAGCTTAATGCTCCAGGGACAGCACCCAGTATCTGTCAGGGGCCAGATCCTGAGCGTTTCAGGCTTCCTGGGCCAGGTGGCTTCTGTTGCAACTATTCATCTCTACTGTTGTGGCTTGAAGCTGCCATCCATATATGCAAATGATGGGCGGGGCTTGGTTCCAATAGTTACTTATGGATGCTGAGTTTTGAACTTCATATAATGCCCAGGTGTCACAGATGTCTTTTATTTTTTATGCTTCTTTTGACCCCCTCCCCCAGCTATTTACAAATGTAAACACTATTCTTAGCTCACAGGCTGTACCAATATAGGCAGTGGGCTGTAGTTTGCCAAACCCGGCACCAGAATACAATTTTCCTCCTCTGGGAAGCAAGATAGGGCTTTGTGGTGTAGGGGCTCCAAGCCAGTCACCCCAAGATGTGCCTCTGTGGCATGCAAATTGTTTTGAGCTGAAGGCAACCAAGACCCCGCAGGCTCAAGAGAAACGTCCGCCTAGAAGAATTTAAATTAGGGGCCTTGCCCACAATAAGAGATTATCAGAGACAATTTTCTGACTCATCTATAAGGCAGGGCAAACTTCTAATTACTGAACATCATTTCTCTTACTGTCCGCAATGACCGTCCTCCTCTCTGAAGTCCCAAGGTGACCCTTAGCTCAGAATTCCATATATATCTCATTGTCCCCTCTCTTTTTTTTTTAATGTATTTTTATTTCAGAGGGGAAGGGAGAGGGAGAGGGAGATAGAAACCTCGATGAAGAGAGAGAATCATTGATCGGCTGCCTCCTGCACACCCCACACTGGGGATCGAGTCCGCAACCCAGACATGTGCCCCGACCTGGAATTGAACAGCGACCTCCTGGTTCATCGGTTGACACTCAACCACTGAGCCACGCTGGCTGAGCCGCCTTTTCTGTCTTTAAACCTCTCATGTATGTGGGTCTGTGAACCTCTCATGTCTACAGGGTTCCCATACTTAGGCATGGATTAAACTGGGTCTTTTTCTCTCTAAAAAAATCAATAAAAACATACTTTTAAAAAACTTTTTAAAAAAAGTAACAAGGCCTTGAAGAAGTACGTTTTAAAGCAGAGATTAATAAACCTTTCTCCCTACGTGCCAGAAGCTTGAGTAACACCCGTGATGATTAGGGAGTTCACGATGGGTGAGGAGCCAGACATTTCTCTTGGCACCTCCCGGCCTCTGCACTGGCTGCAGCCCTGGCCATTTCCCTTCCCACATGCTTGGTGCCCCCACGGTCTTTGGGGCACAGAGCAGAACCTAATCAGTGTTGAGGGAGGAGCTGTGTCCTGAGTGCTATGGCCCAGGTGGCTCTGTTTCCATCTCGACACATGAAATCTCAGACTTGCAAGAGGTGACTCCAGGACGCTGTGATGGGACCTTCTGGCGCTGGGATGAGTGAGCGCATCTGCAGCCTGTGCGATGGAGCAGAACTGGGGTCATTTTCATCCTGTGCGTGGGGGTGCCCTGGCCTTCCTTAGGTGGCTCCCAAGACGGGGGAGCAGCTGGGAGCCCCCCATCCCCAGCCACTATTTGCTGGGGCGGAGGGACAAGGCAGGCAGATGAGTTTGGGATCCATGTGGGACAGAGGCCCCAAAGGGCTTAGGATGCATTTGTCCAGGAGCACAAACTTCAGAGCTGCCAACCACAGAGGGGAGGCACCAGCTGAGTGACCACAGGCCTGTGGGTTCCAAGGCTGGTGGCGTTTAAAAACCCCGCCTGCTCCCCGCCTCCCCTGGGGAAAAGCACCTTGAAACAGGCCAGGACGAAACACTGGAGAAACAATGGCCTCTTGTTGAATTTTTCTATTTCGAGTGAGTATAAGCTTAAATAAAAGAGTGGCTGTCAATAAAAGCAGCAACTCTACGGTTGTCAGGATCAAAAGACTTTGGAGTGGGCGGTGATGTTACGGAGTGCCCTCTATTGTGTGTGTCATTCATTTTTCAAGTGTGTAAGTTTTCGAAAAGGGAGAATGCAAACATTGTCTATAGAAATAGGAGGAAGTGGGAAGGGGCACGGAGGGGGGATCCCCCGGGACCCTGGCGAGGGGTTCAGGCACGAACGGTTTCCTTTTCTAAAGAATTAAGGGGAATTAAATAGCTCTTGGAGGTGTCGAACTAGCTTTGCAGAACTTGGGAGCCGGGTGTCGCTAGCTGTGAAGACTGCATGGTGTCGGCTCCAGTGCAGGGACAGGGGAGAGGGGGACCCCTGGGAAGGGGA